AAGAGTCTTCTCCAACACCACAGTTCAAAAGCATCAATTCTTCAGCACTAAAAATTCTCCAAGCCAGGCTTCAACAATACGTGAACCATGAAATTCCAGATGTTCAAGCTGGTTTTAGAAAAGGCAGAGGCACCGGAGATCAAATTGCCAACATGCCTTGGATCATCAAAAAAGGAAGAGAGTTCCAGGAAAACATCTATTTCCGCTTTATTGACTACGCCAAAGCCTTTGACAGTGTGGATCACAACAAACTGTGGAAAATTCTTAAAAGAGATGGGAATACCAGACCACCTGACCTGCCTCCTGAGAAATCTGTATGCAGGTCAAGAAGCAACAGTTAGAACTGGATATGGAACAACAGACTGGTTCCAAATCGGGAAAGGAGTACATCAAGGCTGTATATCATGCAAAATGCTGGGCTGGATGAAGCACAACCTGGAATCAAGATTGCTGAGAAATATCAATAACCTCAGATATGCAGATGACACCACCCTTATGGCAAAAAGTGAAGAAGAACTAAAGAGCCTCTTGAAAGTGTAAGATGAGAGTGAAAAAGTTGGCTTGGAATTCAACATTCAGAAAACTAAGATCATGGCATCAGGTTTCATCACTTCATGGCAAATAGACGGGGCAACAATGGAAACAGTGACAGACTTTATTTTGAGGGGCTCCAAAATCACTGCAGATGGTGACTGTAGCCATAAAATTAAAAGACGCTTGCTCCTTGGAAGAAAAGCTATGACTAAACTAGACAGTATATTAAAAAGCAGAGACATTACTTTTGCCAACAAGGGTCCATCTAGTCAAAACCATGGTTTTTCCAACAGTCATGTATGGATGTGAGAGTTGGACTATAAAGAAAGTGGAGTGCCAAAGAATTGATGCTTTTGAACTGTGGTGTTGGAGAAGACTCTTGAGAGTCCCTTGGACTGCAAGGAGATCCAACCAGTGTATCATAAAGGAAATCAGTCCTGAATATTCGTTCGAAGTACTGATGCTAAAGCTCCAATACTTTGGCCACCTGATGTGAAGAACTGACTCATTGGGAAAGACCCTGATGCTGGGACAGATTGGGGGCAGGAGAAGAAGGGGATGACAGAGGAGGAGATGGCTGGATGGCATCACCAACTCGATGACATGAGTTTGAGCAGGCTCCCGGAGTTGGTGATGGACAAGGAAGCCTGGTGTGCTGCAGTCCATGGGGTCACAAAGAGTCGGACACAACTGAGTGACTGAACTAACGTTGTATTTTTGAAATGAACTGTTTATTCTACGGAAAGCTAGCAACTTTACCTGTGGAAGGCAGCACAGCAAACCCATCAAGAACCTTGATTGTAACCTTGCCTCTGCCACTTACTAAATATGGTATCTAAACAATTGCCTCATGTTTCACATAAATAAAATGGGAATAACAGCATCTACACCTCAAGAGATTGTTGTGAAGGTTAAATAAGAATCCACAAACAGAACAGTGTTAGGCACACAGCCCTCAGTAAATGTTGATATATTTTATGATATAGGAAATGTTTATTCCACAGGAAAAACCACTTTTTATATTATAATTAGTCATAGTCATGTAATAGTCAAATCAGTATTACCAGGATTTAAAGGTTATATTTAAGACAAAAATTGTATTCAATAGTTAGAAACAGAAATCAAAGACTAACATGGAATTATGACAAGAAAACAAAGATGTTTAAATAAATCATACTTGAATAAAATGTTCAAACACACAATGTCAGGGTTGGGGGGAAGTATCTTCTACAACAAAACTTACCTCAGAGCAGGCCAAGTGTCTGACATTGGTGAACCAGTTGACGTGAGCTCGGCAGTGATCGAAGGCGTGAATGAGCTCATGGGTGACCACTCTGTTCATATGGGCCTGATTACGGATGTTATTCTGGCAGAGAACAATCTAAGAGGCACCAAAGGGACAGAAGCTCAGTTACGTCCGAGAGCGACTCTCACTGCGAAGGGTCCACCTTCATTCTCCCCTGAGAGGGCGCAGTGCTTGGGAGGCCTCACCTCCTCTCCCCCATGGAGCCCACACCCTCCCCACCGTCGAGGCCCAGCCTTCTCCATACACGCCAGGGAGCCTTGCCCAGGGGCCCTCCTCTCTGTGGACGCACAGCGCTTCGTTTAAGGACCTTTATTCACGTACCACCCTCGCTGGGTGGATTGAACCAGCCTGTCTTGGACTCTACCGTCTCAATAATATTTAAGCGTGGACCTTGGAACAAAGCAGAGATTCAAATTCCAGCCCCAAGCCTTACTAAGTCAGTGACCTTGGGCAAGTTTCTTAAGCTTTCTGTGCCTCAGTTTCCTCAACTATTAAAAGGAGATGACTTACATTACCTACCACATAGAACTGTGAGAATTAAATGAGAATATATGTAAAAGGCTTCTTATCAAGTTTCTGAATGAGCAATGAATCAACAATGCATGACCACACTGTCCCATTCTACTAGAATTGCCAGGAAAAGTCCTTAGAAAGACCTTCAGAAAGACGTGCAAAAAGCCCACAGCACACTGAACAGGAGACCCTCTAAGAATAACAAAACCATGAGGGTCCTGATAATAAGTTTCTACTTACTCTGTCCTTACTAAGTGCCAGACACTGGGACATGGCCCAGGTATTTCATATACGTTCATTCAACATTCATTTATTCAACTAATATTTATCAAGACCTATTTACAGGCTACAAATGGAGATAGAAATTAATCAAATATTTACCAAAATGTCTGAGCACAGGCAATAACAGTTGCTATGAGTACGTACAATGATCTGCAGAGTTGGGAAATGGTTCTCTGCAGAAGGAATGTTAAAACTGGGATCTAATGGATGGATGAACAAGAGTTAAATTTGAGAAGAGGGGAAGGGAGCATTCCAGAGAGAGAGTAACACGTGCAAAGGGTAGGGGGAGGGTTGAAGGACAGGAATGTCTGAGAAGGTGAAGGTAGGCCTATAGGACTGAAGCACAAAGTCGGAGGTGGTAGGCATGAGGTAGGGCTGGTGAGCTCATCAGGGCCAAGTCACGCTTTATGCTGACAGCAGTGGGAAGTTGCTGAAAGGGAACAGTGAAACGGGGGAGGGTTATTTTGCTTTCATCCTTTTGACCACAGTTGGAAAAACAGGCATAAGATGATCCAAACTGGATGCAGAGAGACTAACCAAATGAGAATAAAGTATTCTAGGCAAGAGATAATAGTGCCCGAGCCAGGGTGGGGGGAGCCTAAAAGGTATTTAGGAGGTAGACTGTGCAAAATGTGGTGCTGGATAGAAAATGAGAAGGGAATCAGAGGGATCAAGGATGATCCCTAAAGTTCTAGCTTGCATAATAGGATGGATGGTGGTACCATTCACTGAGATACTGAAAACTAAAAGACCAGGCTGGGTGGAGATGGAGGATGGTAAAAATCATCAACTTGAATTTGGACATGTCAGGTCTGAGATGTCTTTAAAACTTCCAAGTTTAGGTGTGCAGTGAAGACTTGGCTCTATGGATGTGGAATTCAAGACAGAGTTCTGACCTCGCAAAACAAATCAGATCGCCTTGGCAGAGTGCTGGAAAGAAAAGAAGGGGCTGTCACACTGTATTCAGGGACTTCAGCATTTAAGGGCTGGTACAGGAAGCTGAGCTGCCAAAGGAGCGACTGCAGGAGTGCTGCATCCAGAAACCATCAGCTGCTCAAGTCAAGTGAACACATGAGATACGGGCCAGCAATCCTCTCCAGGCAGAGACCCTGCAGTAGCCCCTGCCTGTGTGTGCTTCAGGAGAGGAGGTGAAGAATTCACAGGAGCAGTGCTTATAAATAATAACATTGGAAATAACATTAGAGGGAGTAAACTCTACTGCAAATATACAATGGAATAATATACACAACAGTGACACTAAATAAACCAAGGATGCATACAAGACAGAAGACTCTCACAATGCTGTACAAACGAATTAAATTACAGAGGACTATATCCGGTATAATTTCATAAAATGACAGAGTATTACATATGACCCCAAGTATATATAAAGCTTGAAAGCAGGCAAACAAAGGACTTTCCTGGTGGTACAGTGGCTAAGATTCCACACTCCCAGTGCAGGGTTCCGGGGTTTGATCCCTAGTCAGGGAGCTAGATCCCACATTCCACAACCAAAGGTTTTACATGCCATAACTAAAGATTCCTCATTTTGCAATGAAGATGAAAGAAAGATCTCACTTACCACAACTAAGACCTGGTGCAGTCAAATATATAAATTTTTTTTAAACTTTTTTAAAGGCAGGCAACTACACAGCACATTTTTTGACTGTATACATAGATGTTCAAACCATTCAGGCAAGCAGGGAATGATTATTATGAAAGTCAAAAATTAGGAAGGGGGGCTATGACCCAAGAAGGGGCACACAGGCTTCTAAAGTCCCAGCAGGGTTTTGTTTCTCAAATCTGTGTGGTAGTTATACAGATGTTCATTTTATTATTATGACTGAACACATACATATAGGTTTGTTATTCTTCTGCATGAATGTGATACTTCACAACAAAAATTTTAATTAAAAAGAAAAGAGTTCCCAACTGTGTATAACACTGCTGAGAAATAAGATGAAGATTCAAAATGTGCACTCTATTTAACCCCAAAAGGGAATGAACTCACCAGGACCCACCTGGAGAGCTATAGGTGTCACAGTTATCAATTTACAAATGAGGAATGGATAAGAAAACTGTGGTACATATACACAATGGAATATTACTAGCCATTAAAAAGAATGCATTTGAATTAGTCCTAAAGAGGTGGATGAAACTGGAGTCTATTATACAGAGTGAAGTAAGTCAGAAAGAAAAATACCAATACAGTCTACTGATGTATATATATGGAATTTAGAAAGATGGTAACAATGACCCTACATGCGAGACAGCAAAAGAGACACAGATGTAAAGAACAGTGTTTTGGACTCTGTGGGAGAAGGCGAGGGTGGGATGATTTGAAAGCATAACAGCTATAAAAATAAATTTGGTTACAAGTAACCAAAATACACATAACATCCCCTAGCAGGAAACAATTAAATGTAGCTAAATGTGTGTTATATATTCATGATGGAATCAGTGACGTCCAACACTTATATCTACCCTCATCACATGACATATCCATCTACCACCTCGAGACTCTGTCAGAAACCCCCACTGACTTAAAACTAACATGTGCTGACTTGAGTGTACTTTACAAGAGAAATCTCATTTAATTCTCATAACTGTTCTGTGAAATAAATACAATCGTTACCCATATTTTACAGATGAGAAAACTCGCTCCCCTCATCAAAAATTCTCAGAGATGCATCACTTCCCACTGAGTAAAGATGAAACTCTTTATCCTGACATTCAAAGCCTCCCACCATACAGCAGCTGTACTATACAACATCCCCCTGGGAACCACACCCGCCTCCAGGAGTTTAACCTGCCTCAAATCCTGTCATTGTCTGCATTGGAGGCTTGTCTCCCCTGTGAGACTAACTCATTTGTTTTTAATCCTACACAAAGTCTACCCAGCAGAATGCCTGGCACGTGGAAGGCACTCAGCAAACACGAGGAGAACTGCAGGAAAGAAAACGACCTGGTAAAACGCCTACCTGAGACACTGCAGCGTCAAAACCTCCACTGACATTTCCGTTACAGTCTTCACAAGCAAAGTGTCTGTCTTTGTTAACAGCACTGGAAGGCAAGAACGGATTAAAGAGACAACGTGCAGAAGCAATGTCCACGGGGCACAGCCCTGGGCCAGCAGACCGGATCATCCATATCTCCACCACGGCCACCCAGGACACCTCGGGACAGCAACTGAACACCTTCAGCATTTAGTCCTCTCATCCTTAGAGCAGGGCAACTGTCTTTGCAAAATCGATCCCAGTTCAAATGCTACCCATGAGTCCAGAAGGCACTGGCTCGACTAATGAAGACCGAACTGGAGATACACTGGAGTTTCTGCCCTTGGGCCAGAATGTTAAGAAGGGGAGCTCAGAAGTCACTTTTTCTGATCCCCTCAAAGTTGAACGACACCTGGAAGGCTACCGCATGCATAACAAACTGAGACTTCTCCATGAAGGATAATGCTGAGACTGGCATAGTGGAAAAACCAGGTTTGGTAATTAGTTACGAGAAAGATGTTAAGTATTGTCTTTACTAAACACCTGAGGTGAATGGTGGAGCCAGAGATCTGGAGAGAAAGCGTCCTGCCTGGGGAGAACGCGGCCAACCACCACCTGCCACATGGAAAGGGCTTTGCGGCCTGAGTGAAAAATCTGAAGAGGTTCCAGTTTGTGGGGGGTGGGGGAGAAAGGGGTGGCTTGTTTTCAGCAGTCAGAATACAAAGGAGCACTTTAAAAAGATTTACTTACCAGCCTGAATGCTTCATGGCATCAAGTAGAAGTTTGACATATGGATCTAGAAAGATATTGATTCAATTACATACGGTAATTGGAAAAAAAAAAAAAGCAGCAATTATCCAAATATTATAAAAGAAAAACATACCTCTCAAATCTTAGTGAAATAGAAAAAAAAATCTTAGTGAAATAATACTACTATCTAATTTTAAGTCATACTAATTAGTAATTAGTAATAATTTTAAGCAATACTAATACCTTAAAATTGATTAAAAATGAATACAAAAAGATAAGCTTAAATTAACATAAAAGCAAGTCTTTAATGAAACACTGACAGAAATACCAAAATGTGTACCACCAAACATCTTAGATAATATCAAATATGTTTCTCAGTTAAACGATCAAACACAATGTGTTAAAATATGTACCAAAAGACTGAGGGAATGTATACGTACAAGATATACCAACATGACTGTGGTCATAGCCACAGAGTACCAGATTAGAGGAAGGCAGTGCGTGGCCCCACTGAGGTCTGCCTCATCTGCACACAGCATCCCATTCTGAGTACCACGCCCTAAACAGGACCTGCCAGCCCAGGCTGTGCCACAGGGGAAGCTGCTGTAACAGTGCAGGGCTATGCTCCGCAGGAAGCAAGAGAGGGATCTGGAGACTTGGAGGGGAGAAAGAAGATACCCGCTGGCCAACAGGCACATGCAAAGATGTTCAACATCTCTAGTTATTGAAGAAATGCAAATCAAAACTACAATGAGATCACCTCACACTGGTCAGAATGGCTACCATCAAAAGATCCACAAACAGCAAAGGTGGAGAGGGTGTGGAAAAAAGGGAACCCTCCCGCACTGTCGATGGGAATGTAAATTGCTACAGCCGCTATGGAGAACAGTACAGACATTCCTTAAAAAACAAAAAAACAACCAACAAAAGAACCCGCAAACCCAACCCAAGGCAAAAAACCGGAAAAAAACAAAGTCCCAAAGGAAAAAAGCCCCCAAGGGTCAACGGAACCACGGTTCCAAGAACCAAAAAAACAAAACAAACCAAAACCCCCACGAAAAGGGAAGGAAAAAAAAAAAGGGCCGCAAAAAAAAAACCGAAAAATAACCCGCCAACAAAAAAAAAGAAAAAAACCCAGTTGCAACCAAAAAAAACGAACAAAAAAACGGCAAAACGAAAAAAAGGAAGCAAAAAAGGAGAAACATCACATGACATCCCTTACATATGGAACCTAAAAGGAAACGATACAAATGAACTTAAACAGTGACCCACAGACAGAGAACAAACCCATGGCTGCCCAGCAGAGTGGGGGTGTGGGGAGGGATAGTTGGGGACTTTGGGAAGGTCATGTACACACAACTATATTTAAAATGGATAGCCGACAAAAACCTACTATATAGCACATGGAACTCTGCTCGCTGTTACTTGCCAGCTTGGATGGGAGGGGAGTTTGGCGGAGAATGGATACGTGCATATGGATGGCTGAGTCCCTGTGCTGTCCACCAGAAATTATCACAACATTGTTCACTGGCTACACCTCAATACAAAATAAAAAGTTTAAAGTAAAAAGAAAAAGATTTAACTAAGGCCCCAATAATTTCAAGTATCTGAAGAGGTGTCATGTGGGAATAGATTCTGCTAACATTTCTTCAGAGAGCAGAACAAGGACCAAAGGGCAGAAGTTACATGGGGCACATTTCAACTCGGCATGAGAAAGGGTTTCTCCAACAATTATAGCAGTCGATACAAGAGCCTGGTAGCCTCAAAGGGCTTCAAAGATAACCTGTTCCAACAGAGCTCTAAAACACTCTGGTCAATTGATGGAACAGAGGTTTCTAGTCAGTGATGGGGGTGAAAAGGCCTAGACAACTCCAGAGCCCCCCACCACCACTTCTAAGAATCTATGAGCCTGTTAAAATTACAGGAAAATATAAGGAACCCAGGTGCCTCTAACATCAACTTTTCACATAGATGTCCTGTCTGAGAATATAAATGCACAGCAAATTACGTGACATAAGCAAAAAAAAGAAGAAGAAGAAGATATTAAGGTTTTCAAATGCTGAAAGCAAAAACAGGTGAGTAAAAGTATTGTTGGATGAGAAAGTTAAGTACTGGTTACTGCTTTTCTAACCTGACTCCTCTTAAAGAGTGTTAACAGTAAAACAATTATTAACAAATACTACTTAGTGTATATCAAGTATCAGGCACCATACTAAATGCATTATTACTGAAGCAACTGAGAGTTTTACAGAGCTGAAATGGGTTCAAAAGTCTAGTGTCCTCTTTTAAAAAAAAATGCTGGTTTGGTTCTTCAAAGAAGGACCTGCAGTATTTAGAATGGATGTGCTTTGGAGAAAAATAAAACAAACGTCTCCCTTGAAGCCTGATCTCTTTCATCACACCCGTCCCAGGGATAGGATTTTAAAGCTGCAGGCTGATGCTTTAATACACTAACAAGTTCTCCAGCAGCTTTCCCCTTGGAAGGTTGAAACGGGTTAATTCCAACTGGGACTCAAGTTCAGCACCTGGCCCGTCTCACTTCCTATCTCAACTCTTCCTCCACTTTTTGACTCTTCCATTGTAAGAATAGCTACAGCTTCTTTATTTAGCTCCTGATACACTGGCACTTTACACTTATAAAACCTAATCCTCACAACAACCCTAGAAGAGGTACTTTCACCCATTCCCAACTCCCTTTTCCTTTCCCTGATAAAGACAGACAGGATCAGAGAGTTAAATCACTCTTCCATATGTAACAAGGAAAGGGATCAAAACTTAAACCCACATCTAAATCTGCAGCCCATGTCCTTTCCATCACATTTCACTTCGGAACATTTTAAAGGCAGGGTCCCAACTACTCTCTGTATTTGCCCAAAGCAGAATCTAGGAGGCATTTGATACATATTTGCAAAATAAATACAATGTCATCATTCCCCTCTATTCCCCTTTCCCCTCCCCTGATTCCCGGAGATAAAGGTAATCTCAAGAAGGATGGAAAACTCACTGAGTGGTTGACTTTTGAACTGTCACTGGCCAGCTATGAAACAGTAATCTTATTTTGGGACAAACAAGTTTGTCTTTGATTCTCTTAATGTATCTAAAGTAAACTTGGGAAGTCTAGGGCCTTGTAAAAAAGTTAAGAAATCTCTAGTGCAATGTCCCTGGATTTAGAAACTGGTCAGCAGACAGTGTCCCTATGTAACCCACATCAATGGTTCTTAACCTTTTCAGGGTCATGGGCATCTCAGAACATCATGGGGCTATGAACTCTCTCCCCAGAAAGATGCCCTTAGGAGCATACATAACAGGAGTTTCGCAGTCCGTGTCAGAAGTTTCCACACTCTGAAGCCCATCCATGTATGAAGGTTAAGAACCCTTTTCAACAAAGAGCAGGACTGCAAAACTGTCTTTGCACTGCCAGCAGCAGTGAACAGGGCGGGGCACAACGCTTAAAGAAGGACAGAGCTGTTGTGGACATGACATAAAATGGTTAGAACCAGTCAGGCCCAAGACGGCAGAAGATCCAACTCTCAGTAGATCTTGAGCCTTATTATACGCTCATTTTAATTTATCAGCATGCTAAATGACACATTGCACAGCAGTTTCGAAGCTAACCATAAAAGGCCAAACAGTGGGCTCTGTCCCAAACCCTGGTAATCCACACCTCCGTCTCCAAAAGAGCTGGAATAATCCTCCCACTCATTAGCCTATGAAATTACCCAGCCCATAAAAACCAACCAGCCCATATACCCAGGCCACCCTCACCGCCTGAGACAGACCGCCTTCTGTCTATGGTACGTGGATCTCCCGGGGCCTCCCACCTTCTGAGACAGCCCACACTGTATGCAGTTTGTGTCTCTCTCAATAAATCTACTTCTTACCTATCATTTTGCCTCCTGCTCAATTCCTACTGCAGTGAGACATAAAGAACCTGAACTTCCTGAGACCAGGTGTGCGATTTCAATTAAAAGACAGCAGGTTCCGCTCCCAGCCTGCAGGGCTCAAGTCCCAATCTGAGTTTTAGCTGGGTTCAAATCCCATCTGAGGTGCGCGGTTTCAGCAAGTATGCTTTAATTAACGTAGCTCTTTAAAACTCTGCTTCACCGGGACTCTCCAGTCCCCATATAACTGCACAGTTTACCTATGAAATGAGAGGATCTGTCAGAATGTGACGGAAAGGGCTAACTCCTAAGACGACTCCTCATTCACGCCACAGGCAAAAGTCGTCCTGAAGGGGGGCTCAGCGCCCTCTCAGATCGAAACTGAGGCTCAGCCCCCCACACCCACCCCACGATGCCGAATCTGCCCTAACTGCCCTTGGGACCAGACCCCGGCCCCGCCACACCTGGGCCGAACCCGGAGCCCCCTGGCGGAGGGGTGCGGAGGCCCCTCCCTGCCCGCCCGCGCTCAGACCCCAGCCCGCAGACGCCCGGCCCCCGGGTCACGGCTCCTACTTGTCGCCAACGTCTTCAAGAGCATAAGCTGGCACTTCTGGTTGTTGGTGAAAAAACTGGAGAGGAACCCTTGCGGTGGCTTCTGCTGAGCCAGCCGCTCAGAGAAGACTTGGCACCCAACGTGCTGCTGCGGCAGCTGCTCCGCTGCCTCGGGGCCCGACTCGCGCTCATCCGGAGCTTCTGCCATGCCGCCCACGGACTTTGCCGCGGCTTCTTCCTCCTGCTTCGGGCGGCGGAGGGTGATAGAGGGAAAGGTAACCTCCCTCCCACCGCCCAGGGCCCCCCTCTGCCAGGCCGAACCCGCGCCAGCCCGGCCGCCGTCGCTGGGCGGGGCCAAGGACGTTCAGTCGCTGGGGTCTGCAACCCAGGACACCGACCGAGTGCGGGACAAGAAGCGCCGGGAAGGGCGACGGCACCGGGGCGGGGCGGCGAGTGCTGGGCGGGGCGACGGCTGATGGGCGGGGCTAGGGCGGGACTAGAGGGGCGGGGCCAGGGGCCCGCTGGCTGAGCAGACCTGTAGCCCCGCAGAATGCAGCCGGCCAGCTGGGGGCTTCGCCGCGGCGCCTCGGCCTGCTTTTGCGGTCTCCACAAGCCTTGCTCCGCAGCTCCGCTTCCTCGAGCACACCCCTTCCTTACCTCCTGACCAGTGCTGGTCATTAAATACTCTTCTCGCCCTGAAGGTTTCTGCCACCTTCCCACTCCCTGATTTGTCCACCAGCAGGCTAGCTGCCGTCTCTGCTCCACCTCTCTCTTGACCCCCCAAGCCATATTGAAAGCACTATTTCCCGGAAACGTTTGAAAACTGCAATTATAACGATTGGTCGCGCTAAAATCCTCAAAATAGAAGACCAAACTCCTTTTTTATCCTGCCTCATCTAGGCCCATTCGCCCACCCTATTTTTTTGCCACCAAAAATAACTCTAATTGATGAAATAAATTCATATTTTATGACAAGAATAATTTAAACTTAAATTTTTTCTCTGCCAGATCAGGCCTCTTCCCTCCCCCTTAGAGTGTATTGTGCATCTGCATTAACCAGAGCTTACAGTTCTTCTCAATCTTGTATAGTGTCAGGATGACCCACTACTTCATAACTCCTTGAGAGATAACCTTCCTTCTGTCAATAATTCATTTGATGTATAGCCCTTTATCTCAAAAACATGTAACAGTGCTGGGACCTCTAAGGGGTGGGGCAGTCCTCAGAGAGCTTTCTGAAAGACTGTCTCCCAGGTTATAATCCTCAGATTGTCTCAAATAAAATTTTCCATTTCTTTCTTAGATCAACTATTAATTTTTTCATCAACATAACAAAACACAACATTTTAACTTATACCTCCAAGCTTTAACTCATAATTCCATCCTTAAGCTGTCATCCTCTGTCCTTACGGAAAAGGAAATGGCAATCTACTCCAGTATTCTTGCCTGGAAAGTCCTGTGGACCCCATCTGGTGGGCTACAATCCATTGGATCGCAAACAGTCGGACACAGCTGAGCGTGCACACACACACACACCTTCAGTCCTTAAATTTCAGGTCCTGATCAAATCTACCTAATCCACAGGGCATTCCCAGATACCTTAATAAAAATTAATCTCTCCTGATCTCCCAAAGTACAAAGTACTTTGTATCTATTATGGTTTCATCAATACCTGACAAGTTTTAACTAACTTGTGTTTCTCTTTTCCACTAAATTTACTCAGTTCAGCTCAACATTTATTCAGCACCTTCTATGATGTGCTAGGCATGGCAGCAGAAACATAAGAGAATTTTTGAGGTTGAAAGGAGCATGTGATTTATGTAAGAAAGGTATCTAAATCATAAAGATTCAAGAGATGTTGAGGAATATGAACAGTACCTATGTGTCAAAGGTGCTCAATAAATAACTAAATTGATTGAGATGCTCAGATTACTCATTCATTTGAAATATAAAATTATGAGTACCTCCTATGTACATAGACTGCTAAGGCTATAAGAAAAAAGCTACTTTTTATTAAGCTGAGATATGTTACTTCTAATCCCTACCACAACCCTGCAAAATAAATATTATTATCAGTATATTTTGCAGATAAAGAAAGTGGGCTCAACAAAACTGAATAATTTATCCAGGACCACACAGCTAACTCTATTATAATAGAGTTAAGGAACTAAGATATACAAAGATGGAAAACGAGACCATTATGTTGTTGTTGTTGCTCAGTCGCCCAGTTGTGTCAGACTCTTTGCAAACCCATGAACTGCAACAGGCCAGGCCTCCCTGTCACTCACCATCTGTCGGAGTTTGCCCAAGTTCACGGACTTTGCATCAGTGATGCCATCCAGCCATCTCATCCTCTGACGCCCTCTTTTCCTTCTGCCCTCAATCTTTCCCAGCATCAGGGTCTTTTCCAATGAGTCAGCTGTTCATATCAGGTGACCAAAATACTGGAGCTTCAGCATCAGTCCTTCCAGTAAGTATTCAGGATTGATTTCCTTTAAGATTGACTGGTTTGAACTCCTTGCTGTCCAAGAGACTCTCAGGAGTCTTCTCCAGCAACATAGTTCAATTCCTTGGCATTCTGCCTTCTTTGGAGAATCGACGGCAACTGACTCCAGTACTCTTGCCTGGAAAAATCCCATGGATGGAGGAGCCTAGTAGGCTGCAGTCCATGGGGTCGCAAAGAGTCGGACACAACTGAGGAACTTCACTTTCACTTTTCACTTTCATGCATTGGAGAAGGAAATGGCAACCCACTCCAGTGTTCTTGCCTGGAGAATCCCGGGATGGCGGAGCCTGGTGGGCTGCCGTCTATGGGGTCGCACAGAGTCAGACACGACTGAAGCGACTTGGCAGCAGCAGCTGCCTTCTTTACAGTCCAGCTGTCACAACTGTACGTGACCACTGGGAAGACTATAGCTTCGACTATATGGATCTTTGTCAGCAGAGTGATGTCTCTACTTTTCAACACACTGTCTAGGTTTATCATAGCTTTCCTGCCAAGAAGCATCGTCTTCTGATTTCATGGCTGCAGTCACCATCCACAGTGACTTTAGAGCCTAAGAAGAGAAAATCTGTCATTTCCACCTTTTCCCCTTCCATTTGGCTTGAAATAATGGGGCCAGATGCCATGATCTTAGTTTTTTTTAATATTTAGTTTTAAGCTGGCTTTTTCACTCTGGAGGAGGGAATGGCAAACCACCTCAGTATGCTTGCTGTGAGAACCTAGACCATTATAAGTTAATGTAATTAGTCTGGAATTCTCAGGGAAGGCTAGATAGAGAAGATGGGGCCTGAAATGGACTATAAAATGTGAACTTTTGAAATGCTATTCAACTACATGAATAAGCAAAGAAATACAAATTAAAAGGTGTCATTCACCCCACTATATTACCAAACATTTTTTTGATGCTCATTGCTGAAGGAAACAGAGAAAACTAGAAAACTGTATACCAAAATATGATCAGTAGTTGTCTACATATCAGAATATTTTTATTACATTCATCCAGATTTTCCTAAGGTTCTACAGTAAGTATGTATTACTCTTATAATCATAAAGATAAACTTCTAAAAATTGAGTAGGCTTTGGATGCCATATGTGTAACTTCATCCATTTATACTATAAAGACATGAGTGGAAGGCATTTGAAAGAGATGGGGAAGTGCAAATACAAATTACTAAGTTAAAAAGAGAAAAATAATTACTGCAGAGAAATGAGAACTTAGGCAAAGATTTAGCTGTAAGAATTTTCATTTCTCCATTGCAGTACTAATTAAGAACAGAAAGAAGGGGTTTCCCTGGTGGCCCAGAGGGAAAGAATCCTCCTTGAAGTGCAGGGGACCTGCTCTCAAGGGACCTAGGTTTGATCCCTGGTCAAGGAATTAAGATCCTACATGCCTTGGAGCAAACACTGAGCCTAAGCGTGGCAATGACTGAAGCTGGCAAACTCTGGAGCCCGCGCCGCAACTAGAGAGCCTCCATGCCACAGCGAAGACCCAACACAGCCTCAACGAAGACCCAACACAGCCAAGCAAATAAAAGTTTACTGTTTTAACAAAAAATACAATGGAAAACATACAACCATGTTGGTTTTTAAATGAAATATGCTTATAAAAGCTTTTTAGATTACAAAATAGCATGTACAATGTAATTAGAGCTTGAAACATTATATGCATAGAGACAGTCTGGAAGACTGCTCCAAAGTCTTTCCTGTGGTTGTTTACCCGTGAATGTTTAACCAAGCAGGACCCTATAGGGCCTTTCCAGGACAGGACCCCCCCCCCCTTCTCCCATAACCTCTTCTGTAGCTCCTCTCTGAAATACCAAGATAATAGTATCTGATACATACTTCCTGAATTACAGATACTAAAACCACCACCAAATGGGAGAAACCATCCGACCATCATGAGCCCCCAGACCCTACAGACACCTTAGGACAGACACTGTTAAATGCCCTATTATCTCAACATCAACCAGAGACTCGAGCAGGAGCTGATCAGTACCCTGCAACCAGCCTCCCTCGCCCGCTTTTATAAATCCTTTACTGCGGGCTTCCCTGGTGGTCCAGGGCTAAAGAACCTGTCTTCCACTGCAAGGGCCACAGGTTCAGTCCCAGAAGATCCCACACGCAGGGGAGCAACTAAGCCCTCCAGCTGCAACTACTGAAGCCCTCACGCCTAGAGCCCATGCTCCGAAACGAGAGTAGCACCGGTCCACTGACACTAGAGAAAGCCCCCGAGCAGCAACGAAGACCGCCACAGCCAAAAGAATGAGATAATAGATTTAAAGAAAGGAATCCTGGGCTGAAATCCTTCAGGGAATTTGGGGTGTTTGAGCCCCATCTCCCTTCTCTTTGCTGGGCCTGGCAAGACACTTTCTCTGCTTCAAACTTCCACATTTTGGGTTGGGCTCACTGTGAAGAGGAAATTTGGCGGTTTGGTTTTGTTTGCGCCTGTGTGTGCTTGCCTTCATTTTCTAAAGCAAAAATAGTTGTTTCATAGGAAGTTGTGTAGAGCTGCTTAAAATATCACATCAACAAACGAAGTTCCACATAACTTTAAAGCGCTTTCTAGCTTTTTTTGCAACTAAAAATTTACTTATCGAGAGCCACCAAAAATTCGGTGAAATTGGCCTTTCCTTACCGACCCGTTTCGAAGACAGAGAAAGAACAAAAGTCTCCACCACCCACTGCAGGAATATAACACACCCGGACCCAGAAACACCACACCGCTAAGACGCGCAAACCCACGGACGGGAGGAGTCAGGCCTCCGCACCCGGAAGTGAATTTGAGAGGCGCGCGGCATTCTGGGAAGCCTTACGCGAGCCCGGTTTGTGAGGCTGGCTGTTACCAGGGAAACCGGAGGCGCTCGACGGTTACCAAGGGCTGGGCGCCTTTAGCCGGGGAGTCTGAGACGCTCATGCTCATTTGGAAAGAGCGAAGAGGGAAGGACGGCCCTTTGAAGAGGCAGTTGTCCTGCCAGGTTATCTAGTCGTGCCGGCAGGCTGAGAGCCTGCTCTGGGAATCTGGGTCACGCCCGCTTGTTCTTTGAGCCTTTCAGCCAAATGAAGTGGCCCTGCGGCTCTTTGACTAAAATTTCTTTACTTTTCTGCCCCTTCTTAGAAAATGTAAGCTGAGAATTTGTAATTAGCACTGTAATGTGTTCTAATACCAACGTTAATTCTTGTTTATAAAACTGAGAACATTTTGGGGAACCACAAATTAAGAACTTAAAATTCACACACAAACTGTAGACTGCCCATTGAGATGTGGTAAGGGCATAAGGATTTTAGATGAAGAGAAATGTTACTTTTCCAAAAGGGAATTGTTTAATTCCGTTAGGAAAATAAACAATATGAATATTTTTTCCCATGCGTTGTGCAGAAAATAGAAAGTGTGGGATTAATCACTTGTATTAGCGATCAGAGTGTAATCCTGGCCACAAAGGGATATTAATTACCACCCTCCTCCTCCTCCATGCTCAATTCCCGCCTTTATGTTCCAACTAACTTTAAACTTCTGCAATAGTGTGCTTTTTCAAGTCTCCTCCCTTTGTAAATGGTAAAAATGATCTTCCTTGCTTTGATTTTCTTTGTTCGAATCCTCATTTAGTTATTATGTCCTTCCCTGAGACATTTGTCCAGCTCTCATTCAAGACAGAAAATACTCTTCTTTATGAACTTTTGAATATTTATGATAGTAGTTGTGATTAGAGACATCTGGTCTTCCAGCTTTAGAGGCCTTCCTGTGAGCAGGGTGTATTTTATATTCATCTCAATTTCTTTGATGCTCTGGCTCATTTGGTTCTCAACATATTTGCTGGATAAATGTGAACTATGTTAGCTAGAGTCTAAAGGAATGTGAACTAAAATGAAATAAATGAGTGGCCACTGAAATAACAAATAAATAATTGACTTTTTTTAAAAAAGAAAACTTACCAGTCATCAGAAGTAACTTAAAATTTTCATGTATTACATGTAAGTTTTTTTCTCTACATGAATATTTTTGGCATAACCTGTGACCTGTGAAGTCGCTCAGTCGTGTCCGACTCTTTGCGACCCCATGGACTGTAGCCTACCAGGCTCCTCAGTCCATGGAATTTTCCAGGCAAGAATACTGGAGTGGGTTGCCATTTCCTTCTCCAGGGGATCTTCCCAACCCAGGGATCGAATCTGGGTCTCCCGCACTACAGGAAGATGCTTTACCGTCTGAGTCACATAGTTGAGTATATTTGGAGAAACCATTTTATGTCCTGCTTTTTTCACAGGTATATAATATAATTCTGTTATTAAAATCTTAACAGTAAAGACGGCACTGAAAATGTAAATCTGTTTGTAGTGAGTTGAAACAGATGAAGTGGACATAGCATGTGAAAACAATTCTTCGAAGAAGTTTGGCTGTAAGGTAAAGGAGAAAGGTCAGTAGTCAAAGCAGAAAGGCAAGTGAAAGAAAAATGTTAGAGTTTCTCTGTAAGGAGAAGAGACTTGGTGATGTTAATAGTGTAAGATTAAAGAGTGGTAAAAATACTGCCAGGAAAGAGGATAACTGATCAAATGATTACCTAAAGAAATAGAAGGGAATGAGATCCCTAGATCAGTTACATAGATAGGAGACTGAACTAGGAAGGAGGATGTCAAAGTGGGTATGGATAATAATAATTTTTAAACTATTGAAAATTGGCAAAAAAAATAACAAAAATCTGTCAAAAAGGTATATTGTGTGCATGTGTGTGCTGAGTCACATCCGTCTTGTCTGACTCTTTACAACCCTATGTGCCATAGCCTGCCAAGCAACTTGGTCCATGGGATTCCCCAGGCAAGAATACTGGAGTGGGTTGCCATGCCCTCTTCCAGGGGATCTTCCCAAACCAGGGATCAAACTCCTGAATTGGCAGGCAGGTTCTTTGCCACTGGCACCACCTGGGAAGCCCAAAGATATATTCAGTTTAGTTCAGTTTAGTCGCTCAGTCGTGTCCAACTCTTTGTGATCCCATGGACTGCAGCGCACCAGGCCTCCCTGTCCATCACCAACTCCCGGAGTTTACCCAAACTCATGTCCATCGAGTTGGTGATGCCATCCAGCCACCTCATCCTCTGTTGTACCCTTCTCCTCCCGCCTTCAATCTTTCCCAGCGTCAGGGTATTTTCAAATGAGCCAGTTCTTCATCAGGTGGCCAAAGTATCGGAGTTTCAGGTTCAGCATCAGTCCTTCCAATGAATATTCAGGACTGATTTCCTTTAGGATGGACTGGTTGGATCTCCTTGCTGTCCAAGGGGCTCTCAAGAGTCTTCTCCTACACTACAGTTCAAAAGCATCAATTCTTCTGTGCTCAGCTTTCTTGATAGTCCAACTCTCACATCCATACATGACTACTGGAAAAACCATAGCTTTGACTAGATGGACCTTTGTTGGCAAAGTAATGTCTCTGCTTTTTAATATGCTGTCTAGGTTGGTCATAACTTTCCTTCCAAGGAGTAAGCGTCTTTTAATTTCATGGCTGCAGTCACCATCTGCAGTGATTTTGGAGCCCCAAAAAATAAAGTCAGCCACTGTTTCCCCCATCTGTTTGCCATGAATTGATAGAACCAGATGCCGTGATCTTAGTTTTTTGAATGTTGAGTTTTAAGCCAACTTTTTCACTCTCTTCTTTCACTTTCATCATGAGGCTCTTCTTCACTTTCTGCCATGAGGGTGGTGTCATCTGCATATCTGAGGTTATTGATATTTCTCCCGGCAATCTTCATTCCAGCTTGTGCTTCATCCAGCCCAGCATTTCTCATGATGTACTCTGCATATAAGTTAAATAAGCAGAGTGACAATATACAGCCTTGACGAACTCCTCCAAATAGGGAACTATTTGGAACCAGTCTGTTGTAAATATATATTAGGTTGATGTAAAGGTAATTGTGGTCTGGACAGTGAATTTTAAATCATTGTAACTAGGCTCAAACACATCTTTACTAGTCAAAATAGGAACCATTATAATCAACACATTTTGCCAATGAGAAATAAGTTTGTTAATTCCCATAGCATAAAAATCCATGCCTGAACTCTTTACATTTTCTGCCTCCTGCGCTTGTGGAAGCGTTTTCCCTATTTAAAAAATTGTTGAAATACTTAAAGAAGTGGTAGTCAGTTGGCAAGAGGTCAAGTGAATATGGCAGATGAGGCAAAACTTAGCCCAGCTCATTCAACTTTTGAAGCATTGGTTGTGCAACATGTAGGCGGCTGTTATTTGGAGAAAAAGTGGGCCCATTCTGTTGACCAATGCCAGGCATTGCAGTTTTTGGTGCATCTCATCAATTTGCTGAGCATACTTCTCAGATTTTACGGGTTCTCTGGGACTCAGAAAGCTGTAGTGGGTCAGACCAGCAGCAGACCACCAAACAGTGACCATAACCTTTCTTTGGTGCGAGTTTGGCTTTAGGAAGTGCTTTGGAGCTTCTTCTTAGCCCAACCACCGAGCTGGTTGTCACCAGTTGTATACAACTCATTTTTCATCACACATCACAGTACAATCGAGAAATGGTTCATTGTTGTTGTGCAGAATAAGAGAAGACAACACTTCAAGATGACGATTTTTTTTTTTTTTTGCAGTCAGCTTATGAGGCACCCACTTATCAAGCTTTTTCACTTTTCCAGTTTGCTTCAAATGCCAAATGACCATAAAATGGTCAACAATGAGTTCTTCAGCAACTTCTCATGTAATTATAAGAGGATCAGCTCCGATGATTGTTCTCAATTGGTCTTTGTCAACTTCTGATGACCGGCCACTGAACTCATCTTCAAGGCTCTTGTCTCCTTTGCCAAACTTCTTGAACTACCCCTGCATTGTAAGTTCATTAGCAGTTGCTGGACCAAATATGTTGTTGATGTTGAAAGCTGTCTCCACTGCTTTGTGACCCATTTTGAATTCGAATAAGAAAATAGCTCAAATTTGCTTTCTGTCTAACATCATTTCCCTAGTCTAAAATAAATATAAAATAAACAGCAAGTAATGTCATTAGCAAGAAAAAAACAAAGTGAGAAATGTGCATTAAAATGATGTATAACATAACCACATTTAAGAATTATTTCAATATTAAATGGCAAAGTTCAACAATGCAAAAACCACAATTACTTTTGTACCAAGCTAAATATGTACAAGTGGCCAATAAATAGGTATGTTCATCCACATTACTTAAAAACATAAATGGCATATTAAATGCCTACTGAATTGGCAAAGATTAAAAAGCAAATAGTATAGGTATTGTGCAGCTGTTCAATAAAACAAGATTGCAGATGGGGATAGAAATTGGTACATCTCCCCCTTCCCAGGCATTTTAGAAATAGGTATCAAAATTCTTAAATGCTTTGACTAAACAGGTATGGGCTTCCCTGGTGGCTCAGATGGTAAAGAATCTGCCTGCAATGCGGGACACTTGGATTCTATCCCTCGGTTGGGAAGATCCCCTGGAGGAGGGCATGGCAATCCACTCCAGTGTTCTTACCTGGAGAATCCCCATGGACAGAGGAGCCTGGCGGCTACAGTCAGTCCATGGGATGGCAAAGAGTCACACATAACTGAGTGACCAACACAACAAACAAGTATACTTCTAGGATGTTTTCAAAAGGAAATAATCAAAACTACTCATGTATGTTAAGCTGGGTGGGGTTCATTTCAGTTTCTCCACCAAAAAATACAGGTTAGATATTGTTAGACATGGATAATGTGAATGCAGATAAGAGACGTTCACTCATATCAATTTAAGTAAGAACATTTGCAGGTTTTCTAGGAAGGGTGTGTAGAGCTGCAGTTTGATTAGCCTGATACACAATTATGGGATGCTTTGAACCATTTAAAATGACAATGTAGAAAACTATTTAATGATAAGGAAAGATATATATGTAAGAAAGAAAAATGGGTTATGAAAGCAGAATGTAGTTCTAACCACGTGGTGGTTTAACAGACAAGGAAAGAGGCTTACAGAAATAAACTGTCCTAGGTCACCTGGCTGGTAAAGGACAAACCCTAGATTTCAAATCAAGTCTGTCTCATGCAAACCACCTTAACTACTGCACTTCAAGGATGCAGGTAGACTTTAGAAGATGGAAAAAGTTATATCAGGCAGGCAGAGACTAGGGAAGGATAACCTAAGTAGGAAAGAATAGCACTAAATCAAAAAGATTGGAAAGAATAGGGTATGTTTCAGAAAACACACACACACACAGAGGAATATGAGATATATGCAGGTAAGCACTAGAGAATAAAGCAAGAAAGACTGAAGATAGATTTTTAAGATTCATAACCTTCAAAAACCTCACAGGAAAGTGGCCTCACTCAGGAGATACCTTACAAAGGTCTTGGGCCTCAGAGCCTGATAAAGCAAGAGTTGTAAGCACAGAGGTTTCAAATCTGAAAATGCTATGGGAGGGCCCTGAGTGGGAGATTTGGGGGACAATGGGTCCAGCTTGTGGATTTTCCCCAAAGTGAGGAAGGGGTCTAATGGCATATACTAGAACCCTGTGAGACTAAGTTCTATACAGTTGTATAAAATTGGTCAGGTGATGTTAAGTTCTTTGGACCTCAATTTCTCCATCCCTTACAGGATAGAATGTGGAAGAGGGTATTACATAGGATGATCTTTTAATATCTCTTCCTGTACTGACATTCTGTGATCTTACAGGCCAAGGATTACAAATTCAAATGCCTCAACCAAGGATGAAGTGCTGCATGCGTGCTCAGTCACTCAGTTGAGTCTGATTCTTTGTGACCCAATGGACTGTGTAGGCTGCCAGGATTTTCCTGGCCAGATACTAGAGTGGGCTCCTGTTTCCTTCTCCAGGGGATCTTCCTGACCCAGGGATCAAACCCACGTCTCTTGTACTGCAGATGGATTCTTCACCACTGAGCCATGAGAAGAATGTTTCATAAATGACGAAATGAACTGAATGTAATAAAAATAAGAAGTGGTAGAGATTGATGGAGTCAATCCTAAAGGAAATCCATCCTGAATACTCATTGGAAGGGCTGTTGCTGAAGCTCCAATACTTTGGCCACCTGATGTGAAGAGCCAACGTATTGAAAAAGACCCTGATGCCGGGAGAGACTGAAGGCAAAAGGAAAAGGGAGCAGCGGAGCATAAAACGGTTAGATCGCATCACTGACTCAGTGGACACGAAAGTGAGCGAACTCTGAGAAATAGTGGAGAACAGAGGAGCCGGGAGTGCTATAGTCAATGGGGCCACAAAGAATCGGACACAACTTAGGACTGAACAGCAACAGAGACTAGAGTAACGTGCTCAGTCACTCAGTTGAGTCTGATTCTTTGTGACCCAATGGACTGTGTAGGCTGCCAGGATTTTCCTGGCAAGATACTAGAGTGGGCTCCTGTTTCCTTCTCCAGGGGATCTTCCTGACCCAGGGATCAAACCCACGTCTCTTGTACTGCAGGTGGATTCTTCACCACTGAGCCATGAGAAGAATGTTTCATAAATGACGAAATGAACTGAATGTAATAAAAATAAAAAGTGGTAGAGATTGGAGTCAATCCTAAAGGAAATCCATCCTGAACACTCATTGGAAGGGCTGTTGCTGAAGCTCCAATACTTTGGCCACCTGATGTGAAGAGCCAACGTATTGAAAAAGACCCTGATGCCGGGAGAGACTAAAGGCAAAAGGAAAAGGGGGCAGCGGAGCATAAAACGGTTAGATCGCATCACTGACTCAATGGACACGAAAGTGAGCGAACTCTGAGAGATAGTGGAGAACAGAGGAGCCGGGAGTGCTATAGTCAATGGGGCCACAAAGAATCGGACACAACTTAGGACTGAACAGCAACAGAGACTAGAGTAGTATTTCAGATGTCCCATCTAAAACTCCAGTCATTCTTCCATGAATGAGGAGCCAGTGTTGCCTGATCTTCCAACCTTTCAAGAGAAACAAGAATATCATATTTGCCTGGTGGCTCAGACGATAAAGAATCTGCCTGCAATGCAAGAGACCTGTGTTCAATCCCTGGGCGGGGAGGATCCCCTGAAGAAGGGAACAGCTACCCACCCCAGTATTCTGACCTGGAGAATTCCATGGACTGTAGAGTTCTTGGAGTCGCAAAGAGTCAGACATGATTGAGAGACTTTTGCTTTCACTTTTCTTTCAAAAATATTATGCAGACCAAACAAAACATCTCTACTGACTAAATACTAACTTTCAATCTCTTATAGATTAAAAAAAAGGCCTAACAAGAATGATTAGTGTCTGAATGAATATAATTAAGTATGAAGAAAGAGGAAGAAATCAAAGAGAATACCAAGATTTCCCCCTGGGTAATGAAGAGGAGGTGGTACACATTAATGTAAACACTAAAATCAGCAGAAGGTTTAGAGACAGAAGGTGTTTGTGAGTTTTGTTTCTTTTTTTTTTTTTAACACTGGACAAATTTCTCATTTATAGGTGTCCACAGCACATGAATCAAATTCAGCTTTTGAGTTTGAGAAAGCTATGAGATTATCAGGGAAAGGGTGCAGGAAGTGTAGGACAGTAGTTTGGGGAGAGAAGATGAAAGAGGAGTTCAAGATGCAAGAATCACTCTCTCAAAGTTTCATTAAATCTATGTCACAGTATGTATTTGTTATTTCATGAGACTAAAATCCTATGAGAGTAGAAACCACAAATGTATTCTTCACTGCCTAGCACAGTGTCTAGATAGTAGGTGTCTTAATGTATGTTGAATAAACAAATAAATAAATACAAAACAATGTGTCTCACAGTTAAAGAGATGCAGGGTTGAATTCAAAAATGTTCTCAAAGAAGCTTATAGGCCAGAAAGTAAGACAAGTCTTATACAGAAGTAACTAATCCATGTTTGAAAAGTTCAGTTCAGTCACTCAGTCGTGTCCAACTCTTTGCGGCCCCATGGACCGCAACATGTCAGGCCTCCCTGTCCATCACCAACTCTCGGAGTTTACTCAAACTCGTGTCCATTGAGTTGGTGACGCCATCCAACCATATCATTCTCTGTTGTCCCCTTCTCCTCCCGCCTTCCATCTTTCCCAGCATCAGGGTCTTTTCTAATGAGTCAGTTCTTCACATCAGGTGGCCAAAGTGTTGGCGTTTCAGCATCAGTCCTTCCAATTAAAGTAGTTTGAAAAAAAAGTTTGAAAAGTTGAAAAAAAGTAGTTTGAAAAGTAGTACCATTTAAAAAAAAAAAAAAAGTGCCACCAAGAGATTCAGGAGAGAAAATCTGTTTTAGAAGAAGTTAACCCAGTCTTTGATAATGGATGGTTAGGATTGGATCATGAAGATTTGGGGAGGAACTGATCTGAAGCAGCAAAATAGAAAGGCTCATCCTTTCTTTAGAAAATAGTGAAATGTTTGAGACTGCCAAGACAGTGAACAGAGAAACCAAAAACCTAGAGAATCATCCACACGTGAAGAAAACAACCAAGTAACTAAGGAAGAAGTCTCAGAAAGATAAAAGGAGCATCAGGAGAGAAAGTTTATAGAAACTATGAATTCATGCTTCAAGAAAGAAAGGTAGTCCAAATACTGCAGAGACACTAGGCCATCAAGGAAAAGGATCTAAACCCATTGGATTTGGTGATTAAGGAAATCATTCATGACTTTCAACTAAACAATTTATTTATAGTTGACCAAGGAATATAAGGAGAGGAGCTTAAAAGACCAGTAGAATTAGTCAGCTTTGTTTATGGAGGTAGGAAATGTAGTTACTTTGGAGCAGGGGAAAAAGAAAGAAACTAGAAGAGAAGGAGAGGATTATGTTGGAAAAAGGATAATTATATGAAGCAAAATGTTGGAGGATCTAAACAGTAATGAGATCAAGAAAGGGGAGATGAGTCATTTGTCAACAATCAGCATTATAAATTCTAACAAATATTATTTAATAACAAAGGTAATTTTTTTAATCCCTCACCATATTTTCCTATTCCATTCCCTGGTTTCTTTCCACTTTTATATCCTCAGAGTAACTTTTGGTATGCTGAAAAATAATATTAGAACTTCAATTTAGTAGTATTTCTTTAATATCCTCATATAAATCAATGGGTATTGTAATACCAAAACCTCCTACATCTGTGGTTATGCCTCATCTTTTCGTTTCAAGGAACCACCCCTCCCCAGTTGTAGCCTGGCTGGTTTAAGTGAGGCTGAGTACTAATTCCCCGCCCTGGCCCCGTGAGTATTTAATCCAGTTCTGACCAATAACAACCATCACCAATACTTTTACCGACACAGTAGGGAAAAAAGACTCTCTTCTGCTGTTGCAGGTGCTGAAGCCCATATAAGCCTGGAAGAGACAAACCACCTTTGTTACCACTTGGAGGCTTGCCTAAAACTGAAACTAAAAAAGCCAACCAACCCGGGAGACAGAAAACAAATCCTGGTGAAGTTATTTGAGCCCAGGGATCCAGACATGCCTAAAGACTAGCTTTACCACTGAACTCACTAGTTAAATGAGCCAATAAATGCTCTTTTATGCTTAAACTTGAGTTTTATCTGGATGTTCATCATTTACTACTCAAAGCATCCTAATACAGGTATACATCATTAAAGTAATGTTACTTTTTGATTCTGTACCCTATTTTAAATGTTATTCTATAATGTACTCTATAAGATATTCTATATTTTTCACAAAATCATCCACAAATTTAATACAATCCCAATTTTAAATCCCAATAGCATTTTAAGAGCTATTTCTTTTTTTAATTTTAGAAATAAGCAAAATTACTTCAAAATTCACTCAGAGGGGGAACAACTATAAATACCAAGAACACAGGGGGGGGATTCATAAAGGAAATTGTATAATCAGATATTAAAATATAAAGCAAAAATAATAAATATAGGATGGTAATAGAGTAAGAACAAACAGTCATGGAACAGAATTCAAAGCCTGAGTAAATATAGGAGTATTCCCCATACTTAAAATATGGTAAATCAAGAAAAGATTAGTTCAATAAAGTAAGGATAATGAGCTAGAAAAATCATTAGATTTTTACCTTATTCATCATCCCAGAACAAATTCCAAGTGGATTTATGATTAAATGCAAAAATTGAAGCCAGGTTTTCAGTATATATTTGTTGGCATATAATTGGGATAATCTCTAGTAATCTCTGCTCAAATTTTAAATGTTAACACCTTTTGATACAGCTTTTTAATTCTAGAAATTTATATCTTTGGGGTGAAAATTACAAGAAATGTCCAATTCTGGACTTCCATGGTGGCACGGTGGATGGCAATCCACCCGCCACTGCAGGGGACACAGGTTCAATCCCTGATCCAGGAAGACTCCACATGCTTCAGAGCAACTCAGCCCGTAGACCACACGGCTGAAGGCCGAGCGCCCGGAGCCTGTGCTCCACGACAGAAGAGGCCACCGCGACGAAAAGCAGCCTCCCTCACCACAACTCAGAGAAAGCCCACGCACAGCTATGAGGACCCAGTGCAGTCAAAAAATAAAAATGATAAATTTGTAAAAAGAAACATTCAATTCTATGTTAACTGTTGTAATATTTACCGTTTTACAGCAGTGTTTTAATAAAGAAAAGATAAGCTGTAAGAATAAATGAACATTAGAGTGAGTATTCAAAACTTTAATATTCAAATATTAGAGTGAATATATAAAACTTTATAGTCTTGTGGTGAGAAAGGACTTTATAAACATAACCCCAAAGCCCAAAACTATTAAAGCTTAAACTATATAAAATTAAAAATGACTGCATGAAAAAAATAACAAAAACAACCCCCCACATCTACCATAGTTGAAGCAATAACAGAATAGAAAATATTTGCAACATCTATGATAAAAGGTGTATGTCATTAAATACACGTAAGAGCTCTTACATGTCAATAAAAAGGTTCAACACCATAACCAGCAAACCTGGTAAAGAGCATGAACAAGCAAATAACACACACACTCTACAAATGACTAACAAGCATGTGAGAATGTTTTTATTATTGCTAGTTAGGAAATACAAAAAATCCCAACAAAGAGATAACGTTTTCATTGGATTAGCAATGTAGCAACACCCACAAAGGTTGGTGCTGGCAGAGAAGTGAGAGGGTCCTGCGGGATATGAACAGGGTCAGCCTTTCCGAGTGCAATCTGACAACACGTACCAAAATGTTAAGTACCGATACTTTGAACCAGAAGTGATACTTCTAGGAATGAATCCAAAGGTGATAATCAGATAAATGAGAAAATGATTTGTTACATTATTTTAAAAAATTGGAAACAACTTAAAGTTGTTTAAAGTTATTAAGAGACTAAATACAATTTTGAGTGAAAAGAGCTTGTTACAAAGCACCAGGTTCATTGTGCTCTTATTTATATAAATAGGTAAACACATAGAGAAGTAATTTTTAACAACACGTTAGTAATGGAAATCTCTGGTAGGAGTGTGAGTAAGTTTCAAGATTATGCAAAAGCAATACGAGCATGAATTCCTGTGTACCCACACTCAGCTTTTTTATTTACAGGAGTTCCCTGGTGGCCAAGTGGGTAGGATTTCAGGCTTTCACCAGGGAACTGAAATCCCACAGGCTGCAACAGAAAGTTGTTTTGGAATAATAACATACCCATCAGATAAACATTTATTGCTAGTTAATAGATGTAGCAAATATTAACATATGAAAGATGCTGATAATTGCCTACCAGTTCACACCTTCTTCTAAAGTAACTTGCTTTGAACACAGATCTTTTCCCTAAAGGACCATTTACTATACCCTATACCTACTATCACCACCACTGATGGGGCCAGGCAATGTAGCACTATATCCAATAGCAGTCCCCCTTCTCCCTTCTTCCATTCTCATAGAAAATTTTATTTGTCTGATACCTAAACAAAGTAAATTGTTGTTGTTTAGTCTCTAGGTCGTGTCCGATTCTTGTAACCCCGTGGACTGCAGCCCACCAAGCTTCTCTGTCGATCGGATTTCCCAGGCAAGAATACTGGAGTGCGTTGCCATTTCCTTTTCCAGGCGACCTTCCCGACCCAGGGATCAAACCCATGCCTCTTGCGATGGCAGGTGGATTCTTTACCACTGAGCCCCCAGGAAAGCCCAACAACAGCGACATCCAAGTGCATCACACCTCCTCCTCACCCTGAGAGGGTTCATCTTGATTGTCGTAAATCATTGATGATAACTGCCGTTTCCCTGGCCAGCTCTGCCCACGGGATGCCAAGGAAAGCCTGCTGGAGGCCTTCTGGGAAAGTTGCCCTTTAAAGGGAACAGACGAGCGCTTCCCCGGCACAACGACCGAAGCCCTCTCGCTGCAACCACTGAAGGCCCGGTGCCCTAGCGCGTGCTCGGCAACAGGGGCAGCCATCCCAGCGAGAAGGCCGCGCGGCCCCCACGCCCCACAGCCAGAGAAAAGCCCGCGAGGCAACAAAGGCCCCGCAGGGCCGAGAGTAAACAAAACCACATAAAAGGAGCCCATGATAGGCACAGTCCATTTCCTGTTTCCTGGTGGTGCAACCCCTGAAACCGTGGCGGACACCTTAGAACAGCGAAGGAATCCTCAGCTTCGGCGGGAAAGCCAGCAGGATGAGGACGCCAGAGCAGAAAGAGGGCAGGAGCCCAGGTCCCGGAGGCTCTGCGCACGGCTCCTGCCTCCATGTCGTTGCGTAAAGTAGTCAGTGTTTGAGCACGTGTGAATTGGATTTTCTTTTACTTGCAGCCAAGAGCATCGCCACTGATAAAAGCACACTTCTGACTCAAGAGGAGCCAGTCTCTCAGCTGACCAGGTGGACACAGCAAAACACAAGGCGTCCATCACATTAATGCCAAGAAAGGAGCTAAAGTCCCCACACTTCTCCTTAAATTTGGAAAAGTTAGTACCTTGGAAAATATCCCGCTTCCTTAAAGAAAGATATAGATAGGCCTTGTCACCTTGAGCCTAAACAGCATAATAGATGCTTTACACCTCATATCACCTGCCTGCCTACCCCTGTAATAAACTAAAGAAGAAGCCCCCCAAAATCATAGCCCGAAAGTCAGAAATACATACAAATGCTTACCCAGAGAAGCTCATCATCTCTTGTATCCCTCCCACTCTCTTCCCACCCTCCCTCGATAGACAAGTTTCATTAGTTTCTGGTTTATTCTTTCAGTGTATCTTTTTGTAAAAAGTAAGCAGATACAGGTATACTATATCTCCTTATTTCCTACCCCAAATGTATCATACTATTTATTCTTTTTCACTCTTTGCTCTATTCACTAAACAGTAAATCCTGAAAATCAGTCCACAAAAGCTGCCTCTTACGCTGTTATGGGCATAGGACTCTATTATGTGCATTCGCTCTGTCTCCTATGTATACATATTTATGTTCGTTCCAACGTTTTGCGATGACAAGTACACTGAGATATACAATCTTACACGTGTAGTTTTGTATTGTTAGAAATGTTTCTTCAGGATAAATTGCTAGTGAATTGGGCAAAGGGTAAATTCATATGCAGCTTTCTTAGACATTGTCAAATCCCCTTCTATAAGACCAGTACTATATGATTTCATTTATATGTGGAATCTAAAAAAAAAAAGACAAATGAACACATATAACAAAACAGAAACAGAATCATAGATACAGAGAACAAACAGGTGGTTACTAGAGGAGAAGTGGGTGGAGGGAAGAAAGAAATAGATGAGGGAGATTAAGAGGTATAAACTTACAGTTGCAAAATAAATGAGTCATGAGTATGAAATGTACAGTGTGGGGAATACAGTCAACAACTAAAGACTATCTTTGTATGGTGACATATCATAACCAGACTCATTGTGATGATCATTTTGAAATGTACAGAAAAAAATCACTATGTTGTGAAATGGAAAAATATAGTGCTGTGGGTCAATTATACTTCAAAAGCAAACATACAAACAAACTTATAGAAAAAGAGATCAGATTTGTAGTTACAAATTGGATGAAAGCAGTCAAAAGGTACCAATTTCCAGTCATAAGATAAATTGGAGCAAAGGATATAATGTACACCAAGATAAATACAACTAGCACTACTCTATGTTATTTGAAAACTGCTGAGAGTAAATCCTAGAAATTCTCCTAACAAAAAATTTTTTTCTTTTTTCTATTTAATTTTGTACCTATGTGAGATGATAGATGTTCATTAAACATATTGTGATCATCATTTCATGATATATATGAGTCAAATCATTATACCTTAATTATTGGGTTTCCCTTGTAGCTCAGATGGTAAAAAAAAAAAAAAAAAAAATTGCCTACAGTGCAGGAGACCCTGGTTCAATCCCTGGGTCAAGAAGATCCCCTGGAGAAAGGAAAACTGGAAGAAAAATTAAAAATAAAAATGTAATCAGTTATGATGTTAAATTAACTAATTAAAAATTTAGAAATACAACAATCGTAATCATCGTTCATGTCTATTTTTACACCCTAAAATTGACACTTTTCCCAAAATAATTTTAGGTGGAAGCCCACAGAGCTATAAGCAACCTTTTCTTTCATGGTTTTTATTATGTGG